ACTCCCAGCTAGCCATGACTCAACACAAATCAAAATGAATCTCCATCAATTTCATTAATGTATCACATCCTCAATTTTCTTCACTATAGGCTAATAATAATAATAATAATAATACAATCATGTAGTGAAACCTGAACTCACTTTTGTACTTAGAAAGTGTTTTTAAGATCTGAGTTCATACGGCTGTAAAATCAAGTTTAATGTGATGTACAGAAACACCTTCTTCTGCTGTATGAGCGTTTGACACGCAACATAAACACACTGTTCATTCATTGGTGTGTGTGTGTGTGTGTGTGTGTGTGTGTGTGTGTGTGTGTGTGTGTGTGTGTGTGTGTGTGTGTGTGTGTCAGGTCAGACTAAACACCAAAAGAGGCGTGTTGGTAAAGGGACTACAGACCCTCCTCCTCACCCCTTCACATTCACCTTCCTCCTCACTCCCTTACATTCACCCTCTGCTTCACTCCTTTCTCCCTCCTTCCTCGCTCCTCACTTCCTTTCATTCCCCCTCCTCCTCACTCCTCACTCCTCACTTCCTTACATTCCCCCTTCTCTTCACTCCTCACTCCCTTCCTCTAAGTGCATGCCTCTCCCCTGAGATACAGGAGTGACAGCTGTTACTGAGGATGGGGAGTTCACTGTAACCTCCTCTGTCCTTGGCATGCAGAGAAGAGAGCTGGACAGACTTTAGCATTAATGACATACGCACGCTAATATTAGCTTCAGAAAGTGCAGGCTGCTTGGGGGACAGGGGCAGGCCAAGGACAACGTGATAGCATCAGTAGATCCTGATGGAGAGAGAGATTGAGTTTTTCTTGTTTTGAACATGTTGAGATACAAAGTCAGTCAGCTAATTCTTTGAATTTCCCGCCTTCATTTACTTAAAAAGGCAAACTTTTTTTAAATCTAGGAGGGTGCCAGATGAGAAGCGTCAATCCCATTCCCCGCAGTCTGAAGAGGGAGCTGGGCACACTACACTTCAAAAGTCCCAAAAACAAAAGCATTTAGTAACCACAAAACGCAACATCAAAAACACACTGGGGGAAAAAAAACAGAAATCACTGTGAGCAAAGAATATACAAACAGCACCACTGAATAAAACCGACTTATCTGTCAGAGCCGTGGACCCGTCTTTTATGGAGCAGGTGATAGCTGGGTGATCGAGAACAGGTGTGACCTCCAGAGGAGAGAGAGCGAGCAAAGCCACGCCTCCTGCCACACACACTGAGAGAAAGAAAACACAAAGGGAAGGTTAGAAGAGGAGCGAGAAACCAGAGGGGTATCCCATGAAGCAGGATTAAGGAGAATCCTCGCTTGTTTTGATTTGTCTGACTCATTTAAGTGGGAGTTCCGTTCCATCACTGTAGCTTGTATGAGTTACCATGGTAACTTATGCTGGTGAACAAGTCTACTCTGGACCAGGCTAACTGTAGGGCTTAGTTTAGCCTTGTGTCAAAGAATGTCATAATCCACTGCACGGCTCCTATATTGCACCTTTTATACATTTTAATTTTTAATTTTTAATTTTATTTATTTTTATTATTTTTTATATATTGTAATAACTTCTTAACACTGTATTATTTAAGTTGTTGCTAGTTCTGCTTTATTTCCTTGTTAATTGTTTAGCACCAATACACCAAGACAAATTCTTTGTATGTGTAAATGTACTTCTCAATAAACCCCGATTCTGATTCTGATTCTGTTTCTGATGTCGGACAGGTAGAATCAGACTCTAAAAAGGTGTGTTTAGATTTTATAATAATAAATGTAGTTTAAATATCGGAGATGGTTTTGAAAGTGGAGAGAGGTTAGACAGAAAAGGTTTCAAGATCGATGCAGAGCTGGATAAACACTGAAGCTTCAGTGTCCGCGACATGGCAACCTGCGTGCACATCGACTCTAAAGGCTCAAATAAAGCCTACTTGCTTTTGATCCACATGTATGCATAGACAACCTGCTGCGTCTTGAGCGTAAATGTTCACCTACTTGCCAATGTACAGCGAGTGTTACTGGAGGATTCTTCCAGAGGGAGCATGTTGCCGTGTTTGTTGCTATTCAATGGTGATGACACATCATAGTGCGGGGTAGTTGCAGACTTGATCCGTTAACTTTTCTTCATAACTTCCCGCCATTGTTGTAATGGCTCTCTGGTGTCTCTGATGATGTCATTTTCGGTCTCATCACCATACAACTCTATACTGCTCCTAGCGGTTATGTGCATACTGGATCTCGCCGACGTGTAGCGGTCATTTCTGAGGACGTGCACAACCAATGCTCAAAACCACCTCAGGATAAGAAAGGCTGTTAAAAGCGAGTTTACTCAGGGCTCAGGAGGAGGGGGCGGGTGGAGACCACTCCCTCCAGTGTTTAGAATTTGCAGTACCCATTTTAAACACTAGATGTCAGAGTTACATACTGCTCCTTTAACGTTTCACTCTTTCAAAGAGAGCTCACTCAGACCAGGTCTGAAGGTTAATATTTATTGATCATCCATACTCCTTTCCTTTTATCCCAGTTTAAGATGATTAAACAAGAAGAAAATAGAAGCTGCGTCTAACCAAACGTTGCAGTGAGAGATAAAAGAGTACAATTTGTCCAGGCCTTAAACGAAAGTGAGCACATCAAACTATTTCTTTAAACGACACCATGAAACCCTTTTTTTTAAGTGGCGCCCTGCTTGTTTCTCCTGGTTGTTGTTTTGTAAAGTGCTTCCAGTCCAGTGATGCATTAATGCATTAAAATCCTGTTGGGGGGGGGGAAGTGAATGTTTGACCTTCAGGGCTGGATGGTGACTGCTGCCCTCAGAGGACTGTCTGGGGTCTGACTGTCCTTGCACGCAGAGTCTGTGTGGTTTTGTGTGTTTGTGTGTAAGTGTCTGGACGGTTGAACCAAATCCTGTAAGAGCGTGCGTGTGGTATTTTATTATTTGTTTGTTTGTCTTTGTTTTTAAAGGAAGTTTAATTTTTCACCTGCTGTCTGTGAAATATAACAAAAAGGGATAGAGAGGCTCGTGGTGATCGATTATTTGTGTAGTGTAATGCTAGCTTAGCATTAGCATATTAAACTTATTCTAAAGTTTTGTGGCTGTTCTGAACAGGTTTTTTGTTCACCTGGCCGGCCTGATACCAAAGCTGGAGGAGAAGGAAAACTGAAAAGAGACAGAAGGACTCATGAGGCTTTGTGTCTGCCATGACTCTGCAGTTGTTGTGTCTGCTGTGTGTGTGTGTGTGTGTGTGTGTGTGTGTGTGTGTGTGTGTGTGTGTGTGTGTGTGTGTGTGCGTGCGTGCGTGCGTGCGTGCGTGCGTGCGTGCGTGCGTGCGTGTGTGTATCAGCAGTTCACTGATGTTTTACTTTATAGACCCAAAAATGGAAAACAGCAATAAAGAAACACTTGCTCCCACAGAGACACTCCGACTACACTGAGTGTGGCTAAACTCACTGTTGATGCACTCGTCTTAATTATTCATGATACCCACCACTTCACTGATATTGGCACTGCACCAAAAATGTGTGTCCTCATTTCCCCTGAAAATATTTGATGAATCATGTTTTTTAGCTCGAGTCTAAACCACCATGTTGCACTGGTCAAAAGAAATGATTTGATAAAGGCTTCATTATACTTGTTCCTGAAAATTTCAGGACCACGGACAGAGACACACTTTATTATACTGTACTTTTTTAGCAGCTCATGCTTGTTTGTTTAAGGTGAACTCATAAGTAATCCAAGAAGAACTTTGTACATGATTTACATTTAATATTACATGAACTTCTATCTAGAATTATAATACTTATACTCCATTATACATCTGACAGATGAGCTGCCTCTAAGAGCCATACTTAAACACAAAGTATTTCAATTCCACCACCAGGGGGCTCTCAATCAAAACACTACCTAAAGATGACGTTGAGGCCGGTGGGGAATCATGGGAGTGATTCTCTCTGCTACTCCCCCCCCCCAACCCCGATGAAAACAAACTCTGATTTGACCGTCATCAAGAGGACAAACGGGCGAAACAGACCAGTGAATGCATCCAAGTATACGTTTTTATCACAGCAGCACATACAGCATCAGTACGGCAGCAGTTCATGCTTCCTTATGTCTTATTGTTTCCACGGCAACAATAAACGTGTCTAAAAACATTTTAAAAACACATTTTATGATTTTTCTTTTGCCACATTTTTTTTGACAAACTTGGGTCCTTATCTGTTAGTGAAGTGTTTATGATGTCAGCACTTCTTTGACCGATGGACGTTCCTATTTTTCTATTTAAGATTTACTTTTTGGGGGCGGGGCTTTTTACTGCCTTTATTGTAGAGATGGGACAGTGGATAGAGTTGGACGTCAGGGATGGAGAGAGTAGGGAATGACATGCGGTTATAGGAGTTACAGGTCGGATTTGAACCCGTACCTTGTTGCTCCTAATTTAAGACTCATTCTTGCTAAAATGTCTACATGTAAATGTTTTGTATTCTGCTTCTAGTCTTTATAACAATTAATCCATTTATAAAATAATGATATATATTTTTTAGGCTGTTGTATTCTTTGATGTTACGTACATATATTAACCACCTCCAGAGACAATGGGGGGCCCCAGTCTCTGGCACCCTTAATTTGGGGGTCATGAGCTGAACAGTTTCTGAACCCTCTGGTCTAGTGAACCACAAATGCTTGTGTCCTTTTTCCTCGTGTAACCCTGGTGACTGTTTCTGCAGAAGCTTGTCATGTCTGCTTTTCGTCAGTGTCAAAAGAAATCCACGACTCACACACTCTCAGTCTGGAGAGGTTGACTGTTTGATGACAGCGCAGACTGACAGACAGACACTCAGGTGCAGTGTTCAGTCAGCCTCACTTGATGGTGCCGCTCTTAAAGAAGGCCTGCAGGATGCTCTACTGTATGTGTGTTTGTCTGGAATAAGCAGGTCATTGATGGGGGCCTGGGAGGGTTTCAATCTTTATTTAAGAGACTCTATGGTGATTATGCTCTTTGTCTTGTCTCCTGTAGGTCAAGGAATGATGTCATCAATGATGTCATCAGGGGGACGCCAGGACCCACCAGGACAGTCGGCCTTCAGCTCTGACTATCTGTCAGGTAAGCACGGAGGGACGCATTAGCTTAGTTTGAATGACGTTGGATTACATTTTAATTTGTAGAAGCCAAAAGGAGCAACAGTCTTACATTATTTTAGTCTGTTTGTCTTCTCAGGTCATGTTCATAAAACGCAAAGGTGTTGCTTACAACATTTGGATTAATATGAAATCTAAAACTGAAGCAGCTAAGATAAATTCAGCCTTCATTCATTTCATCATTTACAACATTGGCTAGTTGTCCACAATGTCCTGTGGACTCACAGTTCTTTTTGTCTTTAACTTCCCACACACTCACTCTGAATGTAACATGACTCAGTAGTTCTTGCCGTATCCAGTTGAATATTTTCAAAGTTTCATTTTGTTTTGCCCCTTAACATTTCCACCTGGCTCCTTCAATCTGTTCTTATTCTCTGCAGATTTTCTTTCTGCTCACACTCAGTTTGACTTGCTCACAGGCTCTCTGCTCACACTATCTTGTTGACTCTCCCATTTTTCTCCTTTGGTCACTCCTCTCCTCTCCTTTCTTTCTTTCTCTCCTTTCTCTGTCTGTCTTTCTTTCTTCCTGGTTGTCTCTCCTCCTCCCCCCCCCCTCTTTCTCAGGTCCCATGATGGGAGGGAAGACAGATCAGTGGAGCCAGAACAAGGCAAAAGACAGCAGCATGCCCGACTCATTTCTAGGTCCTCCTCACTTTTTTTCACCTTCTGTGTTTCCCGTGTGGTGAATGTGAAAAGCTTGGTCATAATTAAAACATAATAAAATGTGTTGATAAGGCATAGATGTTTTTAGATTGTATAACTCGGTGCTCAGGTAGATCTAGGAAAGGTGGTGACAGTTTAATAGAGGAAGTACTCGTTTTAAATTAAAACAGTTCATATTCGTTTTTGACCTAATTAAATATATGGCTAAGTATATAAGTTTCAAGTGTTAGATATTTTTTGCACATTAAAAAAAAGAATATTGAGGAGGAAAATTAGCACATTACACATCAAACTGTAATGTGCTGTAAACTATCCAGAATGAAAAGGCGCTTTACGCTAACCTAGTGAGCAGGCAAAAAAAAAAAAGTGAGTTTCATACAGTCGACTGAGACAGAAGGCTAACGCAATCTCCGTTTATGCTAACATTTCCTGTGCAAAGGGCGAGTCCAACAGATCTTTTGGATTCTGTGCTTTTAGCCTCCCTGTTGAGCTAATGTAAGTGAGCCCGATTAGAATGGTTATTAAAAAAATACAGCTGTCTTTTTTTGCTTCTTAAATTCAATGTTTAATCTTAGATAGCCAGGGGTGACACTCAAAGATATGTGAGTTGGTAAAAGTTTGGGTACAATGCGTCCACAGGTGTCACCCATGTTTATACCAATGAAGAGGTATTCTGATTGTTTCCCACCAAGCTTGTTATATTTCTAAATACTGAAGTCCACAGTTTGACTCTTTAGCATGGTGGCACATATAATGTATTGAAGGTTATCTGTAAACAAAGGTTATCTTGTCTTTTCACAATTCTCACACCTGCCTGTGTATTTGCTGTATAGCAGCAGTGTGTACATTTGTCCGGCTGACTGATTTCAAGGTCTCTCTGTTCTGTGTCTTATCAGGCTTCTCTCAGTCTGGGATGGGAGGGACCATGGGGACCGGACTGCCACCATTCCAGACCTCTATGGGCTCCACTCTCGGCCAGACTGGGATGGGTTCAGCCATGGATACCCAGAAGAGTTCCGGCCTGTTCGGTATGGAAAACAAAAACACCAGTAACACCGGTGGAAGCAGCCCCTTTAAAACCAGTGATCTGTTTTCCTCTGGTGGCCAAGGAATCCTCTCTATGGATCACTCCACAGGTATCAGAGCGAGGGTTGGATGCATGTGTTACTGTCAGCGGGGGCAGCAGGGGAGGGTGGAGACTAAGGAGAGAGTAGGAAGTTATCTCCAGTTGTCTCAAGAAACAAAAAGAGCAGGTAGAAGACCTTACTCTTTATTAAATTATTTATAGAAACCATCATTGACCCACCATGAGCACTAAAACATTCAGCAAAGTAACAGGGGCAAGAAACCTTGAGCAGAACCGGACTCATGTGTTGGGCTTGGAGAAAGAGAGACGAAACAAACAAATAAACAGAAAAAACAACAGCAATTAAAAGAGGAACGAATAAAACAGATTTATGGCTACAATGTAAAATGATAAAGCTGAAAGAATGTGTGGTATCAGCTGGAGTAGCAAAGTATAATACTCGACAGATCAGTCTAACTTTAACATTAAACTATTACAAAAAAATCATGGATGTAAGACTTATATTAATGAATATAACAGTTTGAGTCTGGCGGGTCCAAAGCTGCAGGCCGTCTGCAGCCATGATACAGAGCAACCTACTAGACAAGGGAGCTCAGGGACGACCGGAGAGATATATGGTTAGCAACTTAAATGGTACAAGAAGACTTCAAGTTAGTGACGTGCAGTAATAGACTTGAATTGAGAGAGAGAGAGAGAGAGAGAGGGAGTGCGACAGGAGCTCACTGAGCTCTATGCTCCACTGAGTCCTGAGGCCTATAGCAGCATAACAAGGGGCTGATCCAAGCCTGACACAGCCCTAACCTTTATCAAAAAGTAAGGTTTAAAGCCTATTTTAAAAAGAGAGAGGAAGTGTGTCTGCCTTCCCAGACCCTGACTGGTAGATGATTACAAAGGGGAAAGGGCCTGATAACTGAAGGCTCTACCTCCCATAGTACATTTAGAGACCGTGGGTACCACGAGCAGGCCTGATAACTGAAGGCTCTACCTCCCATAGTACATTTAGAGACCGTGGGTACCACGAGCAGGCCTGATAACTGAAGGCTCTACCTCCCATAGTACATTTAGAGACCGTGGGTACCACGAGCAGGCCTGATAACTGAAGGCTCTACCTCACATAGTACATTTAGAGACCGTGGGTACCACGAGCAGGCCTGATAACTGAAGGCTCTACCTCCCATAGTACATTTAGAGGCCGTGGGTACCACGAGCAGGCCTGTGTTTCTCAGAGTGTAATGTTCTCAAAAGGTTAATACGGCATAGAATGGAGCCAGTGCAGGGATGCTAATAAAGGAGTGGTATGATGGCTTGTCTTATTTCTAGTCATGTTATGAAGTATTTTGGACCAGCTAAAGAACCCTTACAGTTATTCTGGTGCCTGATGATAGAAATATGTACCGAGGTTATGAAGAGCATTGGAGCTCAAACTCTGTCCCAAAGTAAAACAGCTCAATTACAGTCATTAGTTTGATTTAATTTAATAAACTCTCAAATATTATGCTACCTTTACTATTCCCTAAATAAAGAAAGGGGCCATGGGTTCTGTAGCAGGGCACAAGGGGTCGGCTGGAGACAGGGGAAGAGTTAAAGCCTGAATCACACTGAACCTTCTTTCAGCAGCAGAGGGCGCTATCTTCTAGTTGTTTGCACTCAAGGTGAACTAGTTAGAGCAGCGCTCTCATGCCGCTGGTTGCCTCTGTGGACCCTGAACTATGTTGTTTTTATAATTGATTAAGAGGATAACAGACACATGGGGCATGAGCAGTTTGAAGACATGGAGTTTCCTCCCATCATAATAAGTTTCTGTTAAAATCAGAAGCTGCTTCAGTGAAAAACAGCTGGACGTTGCTGAGAAACAAAAACACAAATCCACGGGAGGATTTTCTCAACAAACACATACCAACACCAACATGATGCCATCCTTTATTTTGAGCCTAAAAGCTGCATTTGAGATTCTGTAACAGAGACATTTGTATTTCATTGTCTAAAAACAGACTGACTTTCTGTCAGGCTGTCGCTCCATCCAGCACAAAAGCTTCACCTGAGAAAAATGAAGATTGTATCGCGAAGCACTGTGAACTTTTCAAATGACTCAGTGTCTGAGTTTCACTACCGCAGGACCTATTAATCATTTAGAAGGCTTTTTATTCAGGATTTTATTTTTATCTCTGCTCACTGCTGTTTGTGTTGATGTTCTAAAGATAGACACATAAGCTTAAAGACAACCAGCGGTACATGCTGAATGTTATGCAACATGCATGTTTACTATTCAGTCAATGTCCACACAAATGAAAAGTCTCTAGAAAGCAGCGATGAGTTCAGGTAAAACTGTCAGATATCACAAATAATGGGTGGACATTAAACGCAGTCATTAACTGCTGTTTCAGGGTTTCAAATGAAAAGTCATAGTCGTTGTTTTTGTTGAAATTCCTGCCGCCCATCACATTTCTCAGGGAAGAGACTGGAGTGATGTAACCACATGCTGCTATTTATAAATGTTGTGGTTAGCTAACCGCTCTCTCATACAAAGTACCTGCAGACATCCAGTGATTGTGGCCGTCCGGTTACATAACGAGGATGACAACAATGCAGAGTTAAACGTAAGCCTCAGATAAGGGAAGTTCAATCTCTGATCTAACTTTTACAAATCCTTACTTTGTTGGTCAAATGTTATGTAAAAAGTGGCCCCTTAGCACTGCAGCCTGTTTAACTACAGACCTCTCTAAATGGATCGGCTCATGAGATGTGGCGTCTTTTAAATGTGTGCTCATTAGAGAAAATGATTACTGTGAGTTTATAAATATATATATATATATATATATATATATATATATATATATATATATATATATATAAATATATATATATATATATATATAAATAGATCAATGCCGCTGTAGCTTATTAGTCACAAATCACACAAATAACAAGTGTTGAGTTTCTCAAAAAGCAAACTTCTCAGATACCTCTGCATTTCAAATCCAGACTGATGGAGGTTGATAATAACATCAAGTGTCTGACAGACGCCATCATGCATTAAACCAGACATCCTTAAAGACGGTCTGTTACATCCAGTCACAAAGAACCATGATATTACAGAAGTTTGTTGCTCATGTGTTTGGTAACCTAAAGTGAGCTGACCTTTACACCACTGATGGCAACATTTAGAATTAAACAATCTGGTATCAAAAGGACCTTAAAGACCTTTGATCGTGTCTCTCTACAACCCGTGTGGGCTCTTTTAGCTAAATAGTTTTATGTTTCAGGTTAAAGGAAGAATCAGAGGTTTTTATTTAACAGTAAGATTATGATCAGCTCAGGAACCATCAGTGACCTGCTTCATAAAGTATCAGTATTACAGAGCTGAGTATTGTCCCCAACCTCACAACTTGATTTGATTTTGATTACCGGTATTTAGGTCACGATATGATTCGATATTGATGCTTCTATATAGATTCAATATGACTCATAGATGAGAGAAATACCCAGATAACTACTCACAGTACCTTCTGATATTTGTTAAATAATTACGTTTGCATTGTTTGTAGAGGTTAAGAAGAAACTGACTCAAAAATGTATTTTATCGTTGCATTATAATTCAATAAACAAAGAATAAAACATTAAAGCACAGTGTGATCTAAAGTGCACATTTGTGCCTGACCTGAATTCACAGTGCCCCCAGTGGAGAGGGGTGTCATTACAACAACAACAACAACAAAAATCGATCTCAGGATCTCCCTGAATCAATATTGAATTGATGAATCGTTATTCTAACCAGCCCTACACTTTGTAATTCACCATTTTTGTTACCCTGGTGCATTTGAACTCATGAGCAAAACTTACAGCCGAGGCCAAATCATATTTCTGGAGCTACACGACTTCTGCACGACACAGACATTTACCAACCATCTCGATGTCCTTCCTCTTCTCAAACTGCTTTTCTGTGCTTGGACTTGAGATGCCTCTACACTCTTGTACTTCTGTCCTGTGCAGGTGCCAGTTGGTTTCAGGGAGATTAAATCATTATGCACTACATTTTGGATTAACTCTCACACTGCACTTTTTGCACAGGCGATGATGTGTTTGAGGCAGCCAGCACTCCAACATTAATGTCTCCCCTGGCAGTTTGCCTGACTCCAGATTAAGAGGTACTCCCATTAAATACCTTATTGAGTTAAATAAGCACATTCAATATGGATGATAATGACCCATATCCAGGGCTGTTTATAGCCAGGGAAGCATCCTGGCCTAAAGGAAAAAAATAGCAACTTCAATCACTTTAGAAGTACAGGGAGAGATGCCAGATTACGAAAGGAAATGCACCTTTTTCTGGATTCACAATGACACCCTTTGATGTAATATGGAGAGAGAGGAGGTAGGAGAAGAAGAAAGGTGAGAGGGCATGATGAGCAGACTAAGAGAGGGCTCTATAGGTTATACAGTTATATACGATCTCTCCCTCTTGTCTGTCCGGTCGAATCCATTTGTTCATCTTTCTGCCTCACATTCTCAGACCTGATGAAGTGCTCTTCAAGAATAATAAAAATGGCTTCAGAGAAATAACTCCTAACTCCAAACATGATGACTTCATCCTCAAACAAGAGACTGTAGAAGTGGGAGCAGAAAGATGAAGGGATCATGCAAGCCGAGTTTCTTTTTGGTGTCTGCTGAAACTTGCATGTGCAATGTTTGTTATTGTCTCGTTATCCTGTGACATGTTTGCACTTACTGTGGGTCATTATAAGAGCTCTGCATGTCTGACAATGATTCATTCATTAACCATGATTTCAAAGTCATGCATGCATACATTTTAAAGTCATGCATGCCTCACCTCTGTGTGACTCAGTTCATTACTCGTGTTGAGCTGTACTGCCTCCAATGTGTTTTGTTGCTGTGTTGAGTTTGCTTCATTCAGAAGACCATATCTGCCCCCATATGATGATGATGATGATGATGATATTGAGAGACAAACACACTATTATTATTTTTTTGACTGAAAAATGGCGTCTTGAAATGCCGTCAATTCCAGGCTCCATTGTGACAAGACAAGACAGTTGATATTCTCTCCCATTGTTACAGTTTTAATAAAGACTCATGTTGGTTAAATCAGCAATAACCAAATGAGGATGATGAACAGCGTTAGGCTGTTTCTAAAGATAGAAATGTAGAAGTAGAATCACAGTCAGCTTCGATCCTACAGAACTGTAAATTTAATCTGTAAATGTGACACAACTGAGCACAGATATCACAGTTTATTCTTCTCTCCTGATCCCCATTCCTGATCCCTTAATGTGCGCTCACTCTGCACCTGTACATATTCAGTCATTTAGTAGACTCAGTCATATGGACTGGTGGTCCTGGCTGAACCTTTGATTAGTCTGTATCGGATTAGGTTTTTAGGAGTTTATAAAAGCAGGCACCATCACATACAATTTTGTTTTTTTTTATGAAGAAATGTTAAGATGCTGGTGCTAAGAGGAGCCTTAAAGCTATCAGACTTTGGTTACTATGGTTACTATGGCAAAAAAAAAAAAAAAACAGTAAGAGGAAAATGTGTACTTGAATCCCCCTTGTGAGGAGTCTGGTAATAAAACAGATTAAGGTTGAAAGTGATGCTTTTCAATGAGCTACAAAAGCAAACAGGACCGTCAAGGGGAAGAGCAACTATTTCCATGCTGTCATGTTTTTAACGTTGCTGTCACAGAGTAGGACGTAAGAGCAGCAAGCTGCAGAAACAGCCTTTATTTTACATTTACAAAATCAAACATAATTATAATAATTAGTCATATATTTGACTGTTCAGACACTACCTACACATGTGCAGAACAATATTAGCAAAGAGAAAAGAGGAACCAATTTGTCCACATGTGGCGCCAAAGTAAAAAAAAACACAAATGTTATGAATATTCTGTTTAACTTCCACATCTGTTAGTACTGTAATGACACATTAAAGGAAGAATATGCAACTTTTTGATCCAGCAGATGTCGCCCTTGAGCACCAGCATGAAACTAAAACAACTCGTGCTGCATTGTTGTGTTAGCATGCTAATGCTAGTGATCTTTATTATGCTCGTATCTTCACACTGCATGTAAATTTACCTGAAATGAGCGTGATCTAGAAACACAGTTAAGCAGCGAGTACAGTATGTTATTCTTCTTTTCTCTAGTCCCTCAATTAAACAACTTTTATACACGAGGGGAGGAGTCAGCCGGCCGTCTTGTCCATGTAAACACGCTCTAGATATGACATGGACAAAATCACAGACAGCAGGACTCATTGTAGTCAGTCCTGACTCAGAGTTATTTTAGTAGTAGTAGTAATAATTTGTTTCGGTCACAAGAAAAAACAAAAACATTTTGACCGAAAAGGTGTAGGCTGAAGCTTTAGCTTATTACACCTACCCTTGTTACAAATCTTATTATCTAAGACACTACTAGTTTGGTTACAATAAAACATATCAGAACAAAATGTGTTCCAAAACTTTCTTTCAAAACAAAACAAATGAAACAAACAAAAAAGAAACCAGAAGTCACACTCACAAAAAAATAATCAAATCGACCTTTTATATTTGTTAAACAAAAATTTAAAAAAGTGAACTACACATTCTTAATTCCATGTCATAAGTATTCCACAAGTTAACCCCTTTTACCGAAATACACCTGTTCTTTATGTTTGTGTATTTCAGAGGATAAACTTGATTTCTGCTACATTTATGTGTAAAATGTCGCACATTCAGCCTTTAACGGTGAAAAATTCAGTTTTGACGCTCTGTGTTGAAACGTTTCTCCTTTGCACCGATATAAATGTGCCCTAAGTGATCCATGTGCTCCAGTACTTTCTTTGGATCCTGCCTATGCGAAGGAGTCCTCTGCATTATATTCTGAACGTCTAAGGTCCTCCTCTGAGAGCACTGACCTCCGTTTGTGTAGTGACAGAAGCACAAGAGCTTCCTTCTTTGTTTCCTTGGAGGAGCTTCAATGACATTGTGTTAAGACAAGTCAAAGCACAACGTTTTATTCATGGATATTATAAGTGCACTGCTATCTTAACTTAGCAGAACAAGCTAACAACCTCCATTGAAAAGGGAAAAAAAAATCAAATGAATCAATCAGTGAAGGACACTCCTGGCACCTTGTCGAGATCCCTCATTCCTCTTCCATGTGTACAGAAAAGATAGCTGTTAGGACATTTGAAACAATGTAATCAAGCAGATATTGAGGCTGACGCTCGCTTGTGTCGCATGCTGTCAGGACATGCTGTTATGCAGCATATACACAACATTCATGATTTATGAACCACTTTAAGATAAGGACATCTCAACCTTTCATCCACCCATCTTTAAATGAGCAAGCAATTCAAGAGACTGGATCAAGTCTTGATCACGGCCTGACTCTTTACAAATTCTAACACGATGTCAAGAAGTCTCCAGTCTCCTCTTATCTTTACCTTTTTAAAATACCTTTAAATAAGAAATGTGTAAAAAATCATGAATTTAGCTGACTTTTATCAGAAGACAAAACTGATCATGCAACAGGTCTATTCCTAAAATCACTGTGATTAAAAAAACAAGTTATTTGACGGATCATAAGCTCCCCTTCTTCAAAAATACCACCTCATTACTATCATTACACTCATTCACTTCAATAGTGAACATTTTAGGCTTTAAGTCTGAAAACAGCCTATGGTAACCTGAATCTGATGGCTTTTTGGCAGGTGACTCTCTGACAAAGTATGTGATCGGTTCCTCCTCTTATAAAGCCCTTCCCCCCTCGGCAGCTCCCGCCCTTTCTTCCGGCGGCTCAATGGACGACAGCAGTACCGCTTCCTCTACCTCTGAACCCCTCAGCCCCGAGCGAGTGGGGCCAGGGGGCGAGGCTGGCAAACAGCAGCAGAGACGGAAGAAGAAGAAGAGGAAGAGCCACAGCGAGGTCTCCAGCTTCTCGGATAGCCAGGAGAATAAGGTCGACCGGTCAGATAAGCATGGGACGCAGGATAAGGAGGCAGAGGAGGACGAGGATGAGAACTGGGAGAGGGAGATCAGAGAGAGTGGAGGAGGGGGGAGAGTAAAAGGCAAGAAGACTAAGAGTCGGGCCAGACTTCCAGAGGAGTGGGGTGCGCCTCAGCAACCCGTCTCTCCAACCCTTGCTTCAGTCGCTCCTGACTGGGCGACAACCGCCAACTCTGGTCCTTCTGACTCCAAAACTCCAAACCTCAGCCCTCGCCCTGTTTCCGCCCATACACAAATACCCACAAGTTTTACCAACAGTTCCCACGCTAGCCTCGTAGCAGATTCCCCACCACGCTCATATGAGCCAATGTGTGTAGACGATTTCCCCATATCAGCTAAAGACGGTCAAAAAGCAAAAGAGGAGAACGTTTCCACCGCTAAACCTGAACACAATGTTAGCGTAGCTGCTAGCGCTGCCACCACCAAGGGCGGTTTGGCTGGAGATGCTAGTAGTAGTAGCCTAGCGATTATGACAGGAGACAATCTGAGCCCAGTCTCCCAGACCTTCTCTTTTCTGGACTCGGTCCTCCAGACTCCTCCAGGCTCCACTTCCAACTCCCAGACCACCACCCCAATCACCCCCTCCCTTGCTACTGCTCCCTTAACAAAAACCACCCCAGCAGAAAGCACCTCCCCTGCTTCACAAGTCAGTTCTGCTTTAAGTCCTTCCAAGATCACTCCAGACCCTCTTTCCACTTATGCTCTGTCCACCGTCACATCGCCCTCGGCTGCTTCAGACAAGCACCCTCCAAAAACGGCGATCGGATCAGCTCTCAACGCTGATGCCAAACCTTTTGTCCCCTCGGCCTCTCTCATGGCCTCTATGGCCACGCCCTGTATGGACATAGCTGCTCCAGTCGTAAGTACAGCAGCAGCCTCAATGGGAAACATTCCCACCGCATCCACTGCCATGTCAGCCATGCCCCTTAGTCCCTCAGCTTCCCCCTTTAAGAATGAAGCCACTCCCACTCCACCCAAGGACACCCCCCTCCAAAATGTAGCCACGCCAGCTAGTTCAGCGACAGTCACTCCCCCTCCCTCCATCACCCCCGCAGCCCCTCCCTCTCTCCCTGCACTCTCAGAGCACCAGGAGTCCTCGTCGCCACAGCTCCCCCCACTGGAAGGTTGGTGAACTACAGGGGAGATTATTAATAACATGGGGCTAATTTGAGTACAGTGATTGTAGGTTAGGAAAGCAGGCAGTAGCTTCTGTTTGTCTTCCTGTATGCATGGCTCTCTGTCTGTTGATTGAGCACCAGGCCTGCTTGGTGCTTGATCCTGTACTTTTATGTATTTGTGATAAGCAGGGCCCGACAGATTAATGCATCATTTTAAATATATGTATTCTAATAATAAAGCTACACACACATCTGTATTTGTGCCAGATCATATCAGTAAATCAGAATATGGGAGAAACTGTGCTGCTCGGGCCCTATATTAACAAAACTGCAAGTTGTCTGATTTGATTTCCCTCTGCCTGCCTCTGTGTGTGCGTTATCATGATCATAACAACTTAATGACTTGAGCTGCTGATAATGCCGGTGACTATGCTTGCTCCACTGTCTAATGTCCGTCTGATTGTCGGTTTCTGTGTAACCTCCTGACATCTCCTCTGTCTGTAGAAACACAAACATAACCTGGGTCCTTGCATCGCAAAAAGCTTCTTCGTTAATGCCTTAAAGTGGTAGAAATGTTAAAATCACAATTTGTCATCAGGACAAGATATTAGGAATTGTTTTACCAACGTGTTCAACATCATTTACGTTAGTTAGGCACAACCTTCAGCTATCCAGTTTGCGGGGTTTACTTTTAATTATATCTCTATTTGGTTTGGATTGCGGCTGTTTATAATGAAGAGACACAGAAATACTTTTATTCACAATCAAAGCTCCTGTGAGGAGTTTCAGCTAGTCATAAAACCAACTTAAATCATTACTCATGCCTACACAAACATCAAGATGAACTATTTCTATTTCATACATAATTCATTTTAATGGCTGAAAGGGCAGCTGTAGGGGAGGATATCCGACTAGATTATAAACAATAATAATAATAACTTTATTTATATAACACTTATTTACAAAGTGCTTTACAGAATGCATTCAATCAAACAAAATCAAATATACATTAAAAGTGCTTCACAAAATAAATTATAAAACAAATTATGAACAAATTATGAATAAAAATTGATAAAATTAATTAAAGCAGGACATGAATTACTAATCAATCGTTAAAAAGGCCTTCCTATAAAAATGTGTTTTGAGCAAGGATTTAAAAATAGGAACAGAGTTTGCCGGCCTAATTTCTTCGGGTAGGGAGTTCCAGAGGTTAGGGGCTGGTCGCCCTTGGTAACCAGCCTAGATCTAGGAACGACTCATAAAGGTGCTCTTGATGATCTAAGATCTCGACTTAGAGCATAAGGGGTTAAAAGTTCTGTAATGTAAGGAGGGGGGGCTAGACCGTGTTGTGTTTTAAAACACACATATAAAGAGAACAATCTGATAAAAACTGCCTTTTATACATTTGAATATTTACGGTGAGCGATATGTTTGACTAGTAAAAGAAAGCGGGGGAACATTTTTCATTAAAAAAAATCACCACTGACCAGACTGAACAGCCATCTGCTGAAACGGTGATGGGCTTGAAAAATGGGATATAAAGGGATATGCAGGAAGAAGGATATGTTAATATTTTGTCTTCTCTATCTAGTTATTGAATTTGATCATTTCAGTAAATCACCATCACTACCTACAGCTTCTGCTGTACAGTACTGAATAATTCACTTTCTTCTCTGGTATGATTTATTTTAACCTCTTGTGATCTTTATTCTGCAATGCAACGATCCAGTGCAGTTAATCGTTTAATGAATCTGTTTTTGTTCCTTTTTTTTCATAATCTTAGTTACAATCTGCTTGTGGAGTTTGTTCTCCTACATTAAAACATAACACACCACGTTAAAAAAATCAGGATTTCCCCCAGTTATTAGAAAAGAATGAAAGCTCTAAAGTCACCAATGTCCACGTCTTAATATAATTTCTGACCAACCCCATGAGTGTAACCAACATGTACAGCCGCCCTTTGGCCTGTCTGACCTCTCGGACACTGGGGAAAACCCTGACATGACCTCCGTTTTACTGCTTCCTTCCTCCTGACAATAACGGGTATCAATCCTGAGTGATCTGTCTTGCTACATCCCGCAGTCTGCTGAAAGATGCTTCTCCTCCAGTGTGATTCTCTCTCTGCTTCTCCTCAGCCCTTTCTTAACTCTAAAAGCTGACACGTGTTGTTGACCAGTTAATATAGATTATAACTCGAACATAGTTGGGTTCACTTGCACAGTGTCAGCTCTTTAGAATTAATAATAACACATCTTTAAAAATGTCCTGTAGCTTTAAGAGATCCTGCAGCAGGTTCTGAAGCACAGTCCTGATTTCACTTTCCTCTTAACACGTTCTAACGCTGACACATAGTGAAGGGTCAATGTTGGATTATTGTGCTTACTGATGGAAAGCCCGTTCTGTATGACTGAACGTTATATTTTTATTCTCCCTCCCTTCCCTTCTGTTTGTCTCTCACGATGGCTTCATCCATGTGACCTCGACCAACAGGTAAGACATGTTTCCCTTTTTTTACTTAAAAAAAAAGGTATTCTCCTAGTGAACTAAGTAGAGGATGTTGGACATCACTCAATCTCAAGTCCTGTGATTTTTTGGTGAATAGTTGATGCATCTATTTACACTTTCCCTGAAGGCTTCATAAATATAAATCAGTGATTAAGAGTCGATTGAAATTCAGGGCGAGTGAAGAGGCATAGGCCCGATCTCGATGTCCACCCTCACACACTCGCTGACTTTGGTGTGCGTTCCCGCTCAGTCTGTGAGGGCTCAGTGCTGTCCCAATGTGAAATCATCAAGTGACTGAGGGCAGACTTAACGTGAGGGAATTACCCAGAGATCATAGCATTGTGACGTGAAACATAAGATTCCCAGGGGAAGCCTGCAAGAATGGAAGGGTAAACAAATGCCATAAAACGGGAAAACAAGGGAGAAACGATAGATAAGCAGGAAGGTGAAACAACGCTGTATTTACAGTCTACCAAGAAAGTTTATTTGGAAACTACAGGTACTTTAGAAATCTACTTCCAGTCTGTTAACAGAAATAAGAGAGACAGAGAGCACATTAATCCATAAGATAAAGCTTTATTTATCCCACAACGGAGAAATACACAAAGCCTATAGTAAGAACTTTTTATAAGGGCAATGGCTGCCTGTGAGTGAGTGAAGAAAAAAGAAAAAAGATCTAATTCCACATGACATCATGCTCTCATGGTTACATAGAGTCTCAAAGTGATGTCCCATTCCTACTGAACCATTTCAAGCCCTGCAACCTCGTGCACTCAATCACTTTCCAGATGATGTCAATTAGGTCGGTAAGGGCTCAGGTCTCAGGTCTCAGGTCTCTGGGCTCAGGTCTCAGGTCTCTGGGCTCAGGTCTCAGGTCTCAGGTCTCAGGTCTCAGGTCTCTGGGCTCTGGGCTCAGGTCTCTGGGCTCTGGGCTCAGGTCTCAGGTCTCAGGTCTCTGGGCTCAGGTCTCAGGTCTCTGGGCTCTGGCTCAGGTCTCAGGTCTCTGGGCTCTGGGCTCAGGTCTCAGGGCTCAGGGCTCAGGGCTCAGGTCTCAGGTCTCTGGGCTCAGGTCTCTGGCTCAGGTCTCAGGTCTCAGGTCTCAGGTCTCTGGGCTCAGGTCTCAGGTCTCAGGGCTCAGGGCTCAGGGCTCAGGTCTCTGGGCTCAGGTCTCAGGTCTCAGGTCTCAGGGCTCAGGTCTCAGGTCTCTGGGCTCAGGTCTCAGTGCTCAGGTCTCAGGTCTCTGGGCTCAGGTCTCAGGGCTCAGGGCTCAGGTCTCAGGTCTCTGGGCTCAGGTCTCAGGTCTCAGGTCTCAGGGCTCAGGTCTCAGGTCTCTGGGCTCAGGTCTCAGGGTTTAGGGAGGACATCGAGATTCAGCCATAGTCCCGGGTTCAGGTCCGGTCTATGGCTCCTTTCCTGCATGCCGTTTTCCCCGCTCTCTCTCCTTTCCGATTCCCTGGCTCTGTCCACTGTCCTGTCCCTGGAATGAAGGCATAAAAAGCCCCACAAATTAACCTTTACTTAAAAAAAAGAAGAGACTGAATTCCTCTTAAAAAATGAAGCACAAACAGGTTTGCTGTTAAAAAAGAGAGATTTTTAGCACCTTCATATATGACTTAAACATTAAAATGCTGACTCTTGATTGCCGTCAGCTCAGCCAAACAAAACCCTCATATAACCTTCATGTAACAGTCACTGCACCAGGGTGTATGACTTTCCTCTGAAGTGGTTCAGGAGGTGCCTGCGTTGTCAGTGTCCACGGCCTCATGCTGCCAATTAGCACAAACATTAGCATTGCTCTGTGAGACGGCACTAGATGGCAGCATGCAGTCATTTAAAGATGACTAATGTTGGACATACAATATGAAAGATGTTGAAGCGTTGCAGGTTTTTTTAAGTGAATATTGAACAGCACCCTGAAGTTTGTTAATCATTTGTAGAAGTTATGATTGGTGATCTGGATCTGAAACATAATCAATACATATTCTAATAACAAAAGATTTTCACCATCCAGGGTATGAAACACTTTTCTCATCAGACGTTTGATGCTTCAAAGCATCAGAATAACAGGTGGAATAAGTCACTTTAATCACATGTTTTTAATCTTTTTATGGGATTTTAATCTGAATGGAAGAGTGGAAAGTGGCATTAAATGTTACACCTCTGCAGTGAGGACCTTTAGCCTCGGTTCTTCGGGCTGATGCTGCGTCGTTATGATGTTTCAGTTCTAGTCAACTGCCAGTTTTCAGGGTGCTGATAAGGTGCATGCCAACGCGACTCACTGACATGCCTTCTTTTTTTATTTATCTACACCATGGGCTCTTCCTGCTTTGACAGGTCAACGTGTGTGCTGTGAAAATGAACTAGTTGATGTTACTTTATTTGTCTCAGGCCTGCAAAAAATGAAGACAATATTAATTTATGAAAGGTAAGTTCCAATAAAGGTTCTACATCACATTTCAATCAGGAGAGTTTACAATTTAACAGTTCAGGAAAATATAAAT